GGCTAGCTCTAAAGTAAATAATCAGAAGGCTAGCTCTAAAGTAAAGAAACAGAAGGCTAGCTCTAAAGTAAAGAAACTGGACATAAGCTGACAGCTAAAAGTAGACAAAATGCTAGCTGAAGGAGCAAAACACTAAACCAAAAGTAGCAGAGTAGAAGAGCAAAAGGCTAAAAGTAGCATAGATCAGACGAAGCAGGTTAAAAAAGGATCAATGTTTTAGAAATTAAAGACAGTTTGATGATTTCTACGTTTTTATAAACAAAGGTGAAAATTTTGAAAAGTATAAAAGTTGCAGCTCTCGTGTTAAACGAGCCGAAAGTTTTGATGTTCAAACAGCTAAAACAGCTCAAAGTGTGCCGTCGGTAACCTGCAGGTCAGACTCTGACGAGCTTCAGCTGAAACTAGACGGAACAGAACCGAACAGAATCGAACAGACCCGAACAGAACAGAATCGAACAGAACCGAACCGAACAGAACCGAATAGAACCGAACAGAACCGAATAGAACCGAACAGAACCGAATAGAACCGAACAGAACTGAATAGAACAGAACCGAACAGAACTGAATAGAACAGAACCGAACAGAATCGAACAGACCCGAACAGAACAGAATCGAACAGAACCGAACCGAATAGAACCAAACAGAACAGAACCGAACAGAATCGAATAGAACCGAACCGAACAGAATCGAACAGAACCGAACAGAATCGAACAGAACCGAACAGAACCAAACAGAACATAACCAAACCGAACAGAACATAACCGAATAGAACAGAACCGAATCGAACAGAATCAAACAGGACCGAACAGAATCAAACAGGACCGAACAGAATCAAACAGGACCGAACAGAATCGAACAGAACAAAACGGAATAGAACAGAACCGAATAGAATAGAACAGAACAGAACCGAACGTGCTGCGTCGTGTCTGTGTTCTCTTCAGCTGAGCCGGTGCCTTGCTCTGCGGTTCCAGCCTGCAGGAAGTAACATGCCACCAACACGCCACCAACACGCCACCAACACGCCGCCAGTGTTCAGACATGTTGAAACGCGGCGCGGCCCTCGGGGCGCTGCACCACCTCTCAACAGTCGGAGGTTCGAATCTCTCCTGACTGAAACTCCAACAAAAACGATTCTCTTGAAGTAAATGAAAGATTTTCTAAACTGACAGAACCTGAGAGAGGCGGAGACAGACCTGAGGACAGACCTGAGGACAGACCTGAGGACAGATATTAGGACAGACCTGAGGTGGAGGACAGTCCTGAGAACAGAACAGAGGACAGACCTGAGGACAGACCTGAGGTGGAGGACAGTCCTGAGAACAGAACAGAGGACAGACCTGAGGACAGAGACAGAACAGAGGACAGACCTGAGGCAAAGGACAGACTGCTGGACGTCTGGAGGACGGAGTGATAAAGTTGAAATAAAACCTCCGGGTGTTTCTCTGTTAAACGATACAATCTGCATCAGACGCTCCTCGCTCGTCGACGAGGCAACAACGTGGATACCACGATACCAAAACACACGGACTCCTGAAATCCTTGGACCGGACTCATCTCAGAGACCGGTTCTGGCTCTGCAACATCAGGATCTGTGCCACCAGCCTCTGTGGGTCCAGCTGGCCCGGGGACATGTCCATGGCTGCGTCCACCTGCTGGGCGCTGAAGATGGCGAGGAGCTTCTTGCGGACGTCCTCCCTGTCCTTCCTGCAGGGACGCGGTGGGGGGTCCCACAGCGAGCACTCGCCTAGCTGTCTGCGGGTCTCCAGGGGACAGATGCAGAATGGGTCAGACCAGAACCGCCGCTGGGGGCGGAGCCTGCTGCTGCACTGGAAGTCTGCGGACTGACTGAAGGGAGGCCAACTGATGGGGAACACACAGCTTGGGCACGAAGGACTGTGGGGGGACGGATCAGTGCTGGGGGGACGGGAGGGACCAGGAAAGCAGCAGCTGCAGGGTGGGCAGAACTGCTGTTGGACACTACCGTAAGACGGCCTGTAGTGCTGATCGCAGAGACTGTTCACTGTCTCTATCAGCTGACTGTCCATGGAGCCCAAACCAGAGTCCAGCTGCTCCTGGGAAGTCCTGTCTCTCACTGAGCTGCTGTCCCTCATGTCCCTCACCGAGCCTCGGTCTGGCTGTTGGCTGGCCTTCTTCTTCCTGGTTTGAGGCCTCCAGCCAGAGCGGTGTTCCTGCCTGCCTTGACCCAGATGTTCTTGTTTTAAAGAGACGTTCTCGTCTCCCAGAGTCAGCTTTGGTATGTCCTCCACCAGGCTGAGGCTGAGCTCTGGGCCCGGATTGCAATGGGTCAAAGCCCGTTTCTGATCGGAGTTCTGCCGCAAATCGATAGTAACCGAATGTTGAGACTGCATGACTCTCTCCGGGTGGTGGAACCGACATTTCATCCCGTAGGTACACTTCTTCCCTGACAAAAGAACACAAGACAAGCTGTTAGAGCTGAGGACAGTCCACATCTGTCACAGCTCAGTTCCATTCAGTGAAAGTTCTGAAGAGTCATACGGATCCAGAAGTCCAAAGCAGGAAGTTCTGCCCGTCTCAACTGTAGATCAGTTTTCCTCCTGAGCATAATGAAAACATTCAGGGGGTTTTCCTTCTGAACATGATGACATCATTCAGAGTTTTCCTCCTGAACATGATGACATCATTCTGAGGGTTTTCCTCATGAACATGATGACATCATTCTGAGGGTTTTCCTCATGAACATGATGACATCATTCAGAGAGTTTTCCTCATGAACATGATGACATCATTCAGAGAGTTTTCCTCATGAACATGATGACATCATTCTGAGGGTTTTCCTCCTGAACATGATGACATCATTCTGAGGGTTTTCCTCATGAACATGATGACATCATTCTGAGAGTTTTCCTCATGAACATGATGACATCATTCAGAGAGTTTTCCTCCTGAACATGATGACATCATTCTGAGGGTTTTCCTCCTGAACATGATGACATCATTCTGAGGGTTTTCCTCATGAACATGATGA